CCACATCCACCCTCAAGAATTATGCAATGTGCGCCGTCGAACAAACATGTTAATTTCACCTCGATGATCGACAAACAAAATAAAATTCTTTATTCACGCATAAGAAAAATTTCATCACTGTGAAGAGTTATTGATTCACAAATAGTTAAGAACAGAACTGATCTTGAAGATTTCTTCTTGTCTTCGTTCTGAAGACATCAAAAGAGATTAACGTAAGTTTTCACTTCTTGCATGAGTTATTGAATTTTGTGTTAAAATTCTTTCTTCTGATTGTCTAGCTTCTTTACATTGAATTACAATAAATTCTTCGGATTCCGTTTCAAATCGAATAAAACCGTCATCTTCCTTATTTGATATTTCATCAATTACTACTGCTAGATGTTTAATATTATTAATTTCGATCCCATTGACAGTTTTTAATACAGCTTCGGTGATATCTGAATCTATTCCATAATTAACATCATCAGCAAGTATTTGACTGATTACAACAATTTGTTGAGTTAAGTTTTGTAATTTACCATTACATGCTAAGCTAACTAAATGTTTCGGAGCTTTTTCACCCCAATGATATCTACTAAATTCACGCAAATAAAAGCGGGTTAATACTGTGAATACAATTCCAGCGTAAATTAAATATTCTGGACGTTTGTCATGCGAATGAAATGGAACGAGTGCGGGAAAATTATCGAGTGAAGTTGCTAATGTTATTTCCCTTCCTAAAAGATAAACACAAGTTTCAAAGGAGAGAAAAACAGTGGACTGATTTCATCCGCGAAGCGTCAGATGCAAAGAGAAAATGGCGAATGATGTCCATTCGGAATTTTGGAGACTCACATCGTACTGCGTTGAATTCAAAATCTTCAGAATCGATCGTTTTCCCCTTATTTTACATAAAGTAAAAAAAATGTACCAAAATCTGCTTGATTTAGCATCATCTCTGACATAATAAACTATTGTTAGCAATACAGACGGCGCCAGAATTTTCACTCAGAATGCGCTTAGTAGAATTGTAACTGGTATAGAACTTTTAAACCGGTAAAACATGACTAGTTTATTAGATCATACACTACTGATTAAAGGGAAAGATTTGAAAGATAATCATTTTTCTTGCGTTTTAGCCAAATTTTGATATTGATCTTTTGATGAAACAACTTAAACTTGTTTGCGACGTTTTTCGCTAATAAACAATTGCCTATAGTTGAAAATTTATAAAATCCACTTCTTAACAAATACCTGTCGGGTACCAGGGATGTCTTGTCCGATCTTCAAACCGGCAAAAAGCGGCGCGGACCGACTGCTGTAATCATTGCAACCGATTCGGCCTGGTTACAACTCTGGGGCTTAGCCCACTCTTGGCGCCACTACTAGTAAGCAATATTATGAGTGAATTTATCTCAAGATTTGCTGCATCTCTACTAAAACTACACACAGGATGAAATTATTTCGGTTGTTCTGAAAAGCGAAAGTTGTAAAATTCTATATTTGTTACCTTCTCGTATAATTTTAAATGTAATTGTATTACCAACAAATTTTAATTTCATTACATGTTCGAAGTTAAGTCTTTCACCACGACGAAAATAGATTGTACCATCATCAGCAATTGTCTTATCATCGATAGTCATGATCACGTCATCTTTCTGTAATATTTTGCTAAGAATACATGCCGGTTCAATCGATGTCACTAAGATACCATGTTGATCGTCGCTTAGTTTTAAATATTTGCGATATGATGAATTTTCCATTGATTGGTATTGAAAGACCATTCTAGGAAAAGCGGTATATCTACCATGTAATTCAATATCATTTAACAGATGTTTGATTACTAATACTGGTATAATGTAACCAACTGATTGAGCACCGTTCATACTTTCAAATGACATGCCGACAACTTCTTTACCTGTGCAAAAAAAAGTCAAAACACAAATAAAGATGCATTGTATGAAGCCTAGATGAAACAGATTTTCGTTTTTTTCCGATAAGTCATTAAGCGAAGGATGATTTGTCCTTTGGAAAGCATAACTATGTGAAGTGTTAGCTGCTAATGTGATTACTAAGATGCATAAAAGGTGAGCGTGTCAGTCGGATACATTTGAGTTACAAATAACTTTATAGTTATGTAAAAACCCGCAGAAAAACCGTGTCGTAGTTAGCGGAGTTAACATCACAAGTACTTTTTGAAGGAACAACTTCTTTCGATTCTTATTATCTTCACTTTATGAGAAGCATACAGAATCAATAAAAAAACGAAGCTATTCAAGAGTGCGTAATAGTGACTTTCCTTTTACTTGGCTCTAATGATTTCTTATTTTGTATTTATAGTTATTTTGACTAAGAAACTGCGAGAAAGCAATGAACTAATTCATCAAAATTTTATCTTTCCTACCTTGAATAGCCGGTCCACCACTATTACCAGAATTGATTGCAGCATCGATTTGTATGTTTAACAAATACTCTAATGAATGTGTATAAAATGACATACTAACTCTTGAAACGACACCTTTTGTTACCGATAAATTATCACCACCTATGAACAAATGTCAATGATATTAGTATACAGCAAAAAATGTAAATTATTTTTACCAATTGGATAACCAACAACTATTATTGATTCCTGTAATCGAGGCATCTGATCGCTAAATGTCAATGGCTCTACATTATTCCAAAATTGATCATTGTCAACAGTCAATATAGCCAGATCACATTCATGTGCAATGTGTAACACACGTCCAGGATATTTTTTCGGATCACCATGTTTTTGAATACGAATAGTAACCTGATTTGAAACGCCATGAGCATTAGATAAAATCCTCCGATCTTTTATTATAAACCCAGATAGAGTGCTAGTCTGTTGGGGTCGCACTTGCCTAGAGTGGATAATGCAAAAAGAAAATATTATTGAAAAATTTTTACTGAACGCTTTTGTACACAACATGTTTATTATGCTGCTCAAACATTTCCTGTCTTGAAAAAAATAGATATGAAACTTTTAGTTTCATATTCAGAATGAAAACGTGTAATTCTCATTTGTATAGATATAATCTCAAAAATGAAAAGATGAGTTCAATTCAAATATTCATTCAAGAATTCCTGATATAATGTAATATAAACAGCTACTCGAGTACTTTCCTCATTGAATCTTTTAAACTACAGACTGATCCAGATATTGCTCTTAAATATATTAAAAAGATGAACGGCTGTAAGAAAGTGAGTTAAACTGCTGCATAGTTATCAAGAGTCTGAATTCTCTTAAAAGATATAAATATCTATTTAAAAAAATAATACCATTGCTAAATAGGTCTCACCAAGGCGAAGTGAAATTGCATGGAATTGAATTGCAGAAGATTTTGACAACACTGCTTAGTAATAATTGTAATGATTCGATGGTCTCATGATCCGTTTCGACATCCAATAATGAACAAACAGATACGGTTGATAGCTGCTGCTTTAGTAATGGGGGTGACTGATGTTGTTGTTGATCTTTTTCTATATCACCTCTGAAACTTAATTGTTTTTTAATCGAGGAAGATAATTCATCAGCCGATGAATCTAGATGATCTTCGGGTTGATCATTATTACGTTCCATGACGCTTTTGAAACAAATATAAATCTAGAATAAACTGCATTAGGTTTAATGAAGAATAGATTGAAAATAAAAATACAAATAACGCTAAATGTGCCACGCCTATTTCAAATATGATGAGGTCTATCAGAGACCGAGTCTTCTCGATTGAGCTGAGTCTTATGTAGAAAATGTCATGATATTGCTTTTTTTAGAATTGATTTTCATCCATCTTGAGGGATGAGGATGAGGTGAGAGTTTATTCCTATCCATAACAACACCCACACTCACGCAGGTCTACCAATTCTCTTTAAATTTCACTTAGTTTTATGCACACTTACTAAATCCTAACATCTTGAGGATATGGATATGAGGTGTGAATAGAAACAAGATACATACACACCCTCACCTATATCCTCAACTCTTGCTTTTTCTTCTCGGCGGGAAAAAAATAAATGTCATCAACAGATGATAACGCCCAAACGCATAAGGCTTATATAAAACATTGATTTATTCTGTCTATCAGTTTCACATGTATATAAAGCCTACTTGTTTTTTTTACAAATTGTGCAATGGACAATATCGAAGCAAAAAATGAAAAATGCTGTTTACTTTCATTCTTAAATAGTTCTTCATTCAGTGACACAAGCAAGCAAAGGAAGGTGAAAACAAAAAAATCGACAATCCTATTGAATCACTGATTTGTATGAAGCTAAAAAATGGTCTGAAGCATATCGATGGGTTTTTTCACTTTCTCCCTTCTTTTTTCGATTACTTAGAGTAAACAAAAAGCTCTCCAAAAGAAAGAATCGGATAGGTTACCGTTCGTTGAATGACTTTTCGGCGAATATCGAAAAATTTTTCGTCGAAAGTTACTAGAGTAGTAACACTTACTAGTTATACTTCCATAGTGTGGGTGTGGGTGGATGTCAGTGAGGCTGTAGATGTGGGTATCGATGGGTGTGGATGAGTGCCTGTGGGTGTGAGTATGGATGTGGGTGTGGGGTGTAGGTATCAATATAATAATCAGACACCATAGATACCTACACCCACACCCACAACCACACCCATCAAAAATTGATCTGTACACGATTGATTCTTTCTTTTGGAGAGCTTTTTTGTTGTTTACTGTAAGTAATCGAAAAAAGAAGGGAGAAAGTGAAAAAACCCATTGATATGCTTCAGACCATTTTTTAGCTTCATACAAATCAGTGATTCAACAGGATTGTCGATTTTTTTTGTTTTCACCTTCCTTTGCTTGCTTGTGTCACTGAATGAAGAACTATTTAAGAATGAAAGTAAACAGCATTTTTCATTTTTTACTTCAGTATTGTCCATTGTATAATTTGTAAAAAGAATAGGTAGGCTTTATATACATGTGAAACTGATAGACAGAATAAATCAATGTTTTATATAAGCCTTATGCGTTTGGACGTTATCATATGTACTGTCAAAAAAGACCAATATATTTTTTGGGCATATCTATTGATGACATTTATTCTTTTATCGTCGAGAAAAAAACACGAGAGTTGAAAACAAAAGTTTCACTACTCTCTAACTTCTGTACCGCGATAGTTAATGCTTGCGCTAGAGCTGCTAAATGAACAAAAGTTACTAGCTATTAAACATCAAACCACAAAAGATGGAAAGGTAAAGTGGATTTCGTTTGAGGGCGTGGGTATACGTAACCGTTAGTTAAGTATAATATTCACACCCACACCCGCACCCTCAAGATGGAAAAATCCATGAACGATATGGACGAGAACGAGAACACATAGAAAAAGATGATGAACCACACTATATATGATATATGTATAGTTGACAATAGAACGAAAGAAACTATGCATATATTATGTAAAAAAGAAATGAAACAAGATGATGATACCACCTAACATATTCTTTTAACATGTTATAAATAAAACTTACAAAAGCAATGTCAGATTTTATCCTCGCTTTTGTTAAAACAATAAAATTCCGTATTATCAGTAAAAGTATGATTACAAATAAGGTTATCAAAAAAAAGGGAGAAATCTAAGAAATCTGACGAATAGACAAAGAAAGTATCAAGCTAGATCACTGCAAAAGAAAAAAAGAAGAACAAATAAGAGGAACTTTTTTCATAGTCGGTATTTTGTTAAACTATATTCAACTTTCATTATCAGTTACAAATTCATGTAACATGACAGATTCATCCTTTTTTTGTTGATCAGAAATTATAATCAAGCAAATTTTTCAAGACTAGAGTTATTTTTTATATATAAAAATTCAAGGTACTAAATTTTAAGCATACGAGAACAATCTATATCTTTGAAAAAAGTTTTCTTCAATCTGAAATGCATTATGGATCTTTATGATATCACATGTATTCACAGATTACTGAAATACATCAAACTATATATATATATTGAAGTGACACAAAATCATGAATTATACTTAACGGTATACTTTTACAATTCAAATAAATAATAAATATGTAGTTTTCTTTTTTTTTT